GAGTGCGGCAAACTCAGAGGGAGTTGGAAAAGCACCGTGGGCATAAATTCCAGCTCGTATCCTTCCGTCCGTCGGCCAGTGGTCTAACAGCTAGAGTGTTGCACTGGGACTCGGGAGATCTGGTTCTGCTTCCCACTTAGCTATGGAGCCACAGGGCGACTTTGTGCCAGTCCAGACTCTCAGCCTAGGGTTCCTCACAGGGCTGTTGTTGTGAGGATAGAATGGAGAGGAGAAGAACCTCGGTAGCCACTCGGACCTTGGGGTCCTTACAAGAGGAAAAACTCAGAATTATTATTATTATTATTATTATTATTATTATTATTATTATTATTATTATTAGAACATTTCTATGCCGCCCCTTGCCGAATTTAGATGCAGATCATCCTCAGCTCCTTCCAGACTAGAGGGGAGTGTGTCTCATATGTATATAGGCAAGTACAGATGCATAGTTTATCTAAAAATCCACAGGTGGGATCTCCAACTAGAAATTGCACGGGGGAGAGCTTGTCCGCCAGCGCTCCAGCTGCACGTTCCATGCCGTCCCGTGCTCCCCCCAGTTTGCCTTTCTCCTCTGGCCCAGCACAGCCTACTGGAATTTCGTGCACATTGAGAATGCGCATCCCTCTTTGTGTCATTTTCTGCAGATTTCTTTGAAATGCTCGGGATTCCCCCAGGTAAACAGGCAGCCTTCCCCTTGCGCTCGGCTGGTCCTGATATTCCCCTTGGCTACATCAGAACTGGCACTCCTGTACTTGAGACGGGTCTTGGCTTGCCATGTCAGAGCAGTAAGATTGCTCTCAGTATGAGACTCATGACAATGCCAGCCAGTGTGGTGCTGGCTGGAGCACTGGACTGGGATTTAGCCCTAGGGAACTTTGACGACCTCACAGGGTGGTTGTTGCGAGGACAATACGGAGAGGAGAAGTACTGTGTGAGCCACCTTGGGTTCCACACAAGAAAAAAAATGGTGGGATATAAATTGAATCATGCCATAAAAATAATAGCAGTGGCAGTTTCCCACAGAGCACAAGGATTACATTTTGTTTGTTGTGGACTCACAGTGCCTCTGCACAATAGCGTTGCCCAGCGCTGCTGCAGGTGGCGTTTTACTGCATGACGCAATGCCCAGGCTTGGAGTTCAGTCACAGCTCCATGGGCAACCTGAGATGTGCGGACGCCCATGGCTGCCCCTGTGGGATGAGGCAAGATTCCCCGGGGCCACTGGGCGATTCACCATCCAGTGGAATGGAAGGTTGCTCTTTCTGGTTTAAGACCCAGTTCTACAGCTGTCCTTTTGCTCTGGGGGAATGCAGGACCAGGGTCAGTTTCAAATGGGCTAGTTGGGCCACAAACAAGCGGGAGCATAACTTTTCAGTTGTGTGCATGTAAGCCTCAGGCACATTCTTTAATTCCTGCCTGAGATTGGCTCAGAGAATTTTTGAGGCGGGAGAAGGCAGCTCCCCCGCCTTTGAGCTGAGTGCTATTTATTTTCTTGTAGAAAACCCCACTCCTTCTTGAACAAGTCAAAAGACATGCAAGTTGGAGTAAGCATCGCTAATTGCAGTTGTAAGCGTAGTGGGAGCTGTGATGGAAAAGTGGACTGGGCAAATTTGGCCACTGGGCTGATGCTCCTGACTTGGCTCACACTCTCTGCTCCGACGTGAAACTGATACAAGCTCCGGAGGCCTACAAAACAGCCATGGTCTCTCCCATCTCAGTGGTGGTTCTCCCTTATCCTACTACCTAGAACAATACATAAATCTGCAATTAAATATGGTAAGGATGGAAGTCCTTCACCTGGCTTCTGCCACTTGCATGCATGCTGCAAGCAGGGGAGGGGAGCCCCTCTGAAAAGCAAAGCAGGACAGGGATGCTGCATCCCTGGCTGTTGGAGACTGACTCAGCTCAGCCTCCTCACCAGACCTAGCTTTCCAGCCTTCACAAGGCATCACCCACCACCTCTCAAGCTTGTCTAGCTATCTTGGACTAGAAACCTCTCTCTGTCTGCTAACAGGAAAGCAGAGCTCCTTATTGTTAATACGAGTTGTGCACTGTCAGGCCATCTCTGACTTATGGAGACCCTGGAAGCCCTCCGAAATGTTCTCTTCGTGACAGCTCAGCTCTTGCAAATTCCAGGCCGTGGCTTCCTTTATGGAGTCCATCCATCTCATAATTGGTCGTCCTTTTCTTCTCCTAACTTCAGCTTGTCCTAGCCTGATTGCCTTCTCCAGGGGGTTTTGCCTTCTTGTGGTATGCCCCAAGTATAGCAGCCTCAGTTTTGTCAGTTTTGCTTCCAGGGAAAGCGCTGGCTTGATTTGATCTAGCACCCGCCTGTTCGTCTTTCTGAGAGCTCCTTAGGATGCTGAATTCTGTAGGCTGTACTGATTTTCTGTACTCTGCCCAGGATGACTGAAAAGTACCTCCGCCTGTCCTTGAGCACACCAGCCTTCCGTTGTCAGGTTTCACAGTTTGTTCATCACAAACACGTACAAAGAAAAACTCACTCTGGGTGCTGAATTCTGCTGCATTGGCACAGGAGCGTGTGTCTGGATGTGTGCGTGCGTGTGCGTGCGTGTCTGCACACCTTGAGCAAGACAGCACCACCCCAGCTTTGTGCTGCAGTGCAGGCAGACCTGGCACAGTGGGGCAGCTATGAGCCTGGAGAGCAGGAGGCCCTGGAAAGAAGACAAGCCTGACGAGCAGGTCCTGGCGAACGAGTCCAGGCACAGTAGCATCCCGTCTCCAGTGGAAGCCAAAACCCTGGATTAGGGGGTTGGACACACACTGGCAGATCGTGGCTGCTTAATGACCGGGAAGGCTGGCTCTGTGCGGTTGGCGGAGGGGCCTCCCACACAATGCAGCCCAGGCCACCGGCCTCCTGAACCAAAAGGCAAGGCAGGAACGGTTGCTGTGTTGGCTCTGGGGGCTCTCTCCTTCCCTCAGCACTCCTGGCTCGAGCTGGAGGCCAGCGTGAGCTGAACGGTTTATTATTGTTAGCTGCAACGGTGCCTTATTTTTGCAGGCTCCCCTGCCAGTTCTGGGGAATCCCATCATCCCCAGTTTGGTGCTTCCCATCCAATTTTTCCGATTCCTCCCAGTGTGTTCAGAGGAGCCAGACAGCCCAGACATGCGTTTGATCAGACTGAACAAGGCCAGCTCACCTAAAATATTAATTTCCTTCCTTTGCCGGCCCCCAAACACCTTGCAGCATTTCTCTGGCTCCTTTGCAGCGGCAAGCGTGAGCAGGGGCCACCCCTCCCTGGCCAGGGGCACAAGAGCTCCTGCCAGCAGTTCTGCCAGAATCGCTGGTTGCTGGTCCAGCCAGTGTGTTTAAACAGATCTGGGTGCATTATGATAAATACAGGCAACTGTTTATTGAATTACTCTTTATTTATAGCATTTTTATCCCACCATTGAGCCTAAAAGGCTCCTAAGGTGGCTCACAAAAAATGGAGAGAGAGAGAGAGATTGCCTGCTGACTTACAACCTAAGCTGCATGACACAAAAGAAAGGGGATTAGGCAGGCAGAAGGGAAAGTTACAAAACCAGACACTAGATCTTACTTGCAAGTTGAAGTCATGGACACAGTGGGAGGCTTGTGGCTTCCTCTTGCTCTGGAGGTCCTGTGCATGCACATACATATATGCACGCACATAGGCAAGCATGTACACATGGGCACAGACTTTTCCGGTGTCCCTCATGCACACAGGCACTCATGAACAGGCATTTGCGCATATTCAGGGTGTGGGGGGATTCAGTTGATTGATTGTTTGCCCTTGAATCAAGCAAGTGATCTCGAAATAGAGTTTTTCCTACTGCAGACCCATTCCTGCTTCAGCTCAACATACTGAAGGGGACGGAATATAAACGTCAGACAGAATAGAACTGCTAGTCAGCCACTTTTAGAAAGCATGAACTTCAGTGAACCAGCGTGGTAGTTAGAGTGTTCGATTGGGGTTCTGGGTGGTTTGGGTCCTACTCCCCACTTGGTCATGAAGCTCACTGGGTAACTTTGGGCCCGTCACTCAACCTAAGCCTAGCCTACCTCACAGGTCTGTTTTAAAGGATGGAATGGAGTGAAGAAGGACCATGTAAGCCACTCTGAGTTGCTCACAAAAGGAAAAAAGAAAAAATGTGAAAAAATGCAATTTAATAACATAATAATAAACAATATTAGTAATAATAGCTTCATAACCCCCTACTGCAAAACCCACATATTTATTATTGTTTCTTACACACATAGGCTCTCCTCTACTTCCGGGAGTTCAGGATAACATAGAGCTCTCCATTCCATCTTAGAACAGAATAGAGGTCCCAGGACACTGATTCAACTTCTTGGCTAAGTGGGGATTCAAACCTGTGTCTCCCCATTCCTAGTTAAGCACTCTGATTACTACACCATCCTGACTGATATCTTGGATAAGGGTTCAGGAGACTTCAATCTACTGGGTTTCATTTTTTAACTTGAAAAATCCTGGGATCAACCAATTGAAACTTGGTGCACAAAATTTACATTTGAGGGCCTAGAAATCCTTGTCAGTGTAGCCAATCGACTGCAGATTGCCATGTCCCAGCTGCCCCCGCTCCCAGTGTACTTGATGCACAGTGCTGCGGAAGAGCCAGGACTCACAGGGTGCAGCACCCAGCTTTTTTTATTGGCAGGGGCACCAATGTCATCTGGCCCCTGCCACAGGGTTCCCTGCTTCCTCCTAGTTTAACTGCAGTTCTAACAGTGGCTGGGAAAAATAAATTTTTCCAGCAACCTATCTTGTTTCTTGTTGTAATGCAGTCTTTCAGGGTGGCGTGGTCTTGAACTGGCAGTTTGGACTCCTTTAGTTTGCAGAAGGCTTGTTTCTGGTGAAGGTGAAAAGGGCTAGAACTGGTTGATACGAACTGGCAATGCTGGCTGCATTACTGGACTCACCTGGGGGCTGTGGCTGCGCTCCAAAAGTGGCCGCTGGAGAAACTGGCCGAGAGTCATCGCTTTTGCTCCCTTGCAGCACTGTCTGAAGAGCCGGTGAGCATGGCTGGCCGGAAGTGCAACACCATCTACAAGGGCTTTGCCGAGTGCCTCATCAGCCTTGGGGACAGCATGGCTCAAAGCGTCCAGCAGCCACAGGACGACGACAGCATCCAGGAGCAGCAGGAGCTGGACACTATCTGCAGGTGAGTCCCCGCTCCTTCTCTTGGCTCGCTGGAGGTGGGGATTTTTATGCTGGACCACATCAAAGAGCCACAGGAAGCTGACTTGGTCCCAGACAAAACATTTGTCTATTCAGTCCAGCCTTCCCCAACGTGTCGACCTTCAGATGAGTGTTATGACAACTCCCATCATTCCCAAGGGGATAATGGGAATTGCAGTCCAATACATCTTCAGGGCACCAGTTTGGGGAGGGCTGATTTAGTCCAATACTGTCTACTTGAACTGGCAATAGCTTTCTGTGGTGTCAGGGTGGAGGCCTTCCCCATCATCTAGTTCTTGCTCCTTTTAACTGGACCTGCTCTACTCTGAGCTGTGGTCCTTTTCCAATGAGTTCTCCTAGGAGGCCAGATCTGGGTAAACAATGCAGCAGCAGCCGCCTCAGAATCTCCCACTCGCCTTAACCTAGTCCCAAGAGCAGTGGCATGCTATTGAAGCTGAAGTTCAGGTGTTCACCAAACAGTACCGGAACATCCTTCCAAGGAGACTTCAAAATGGCAGGCAACTGCACCGATCCATATCAACACAATAATCCACATTTCAACAACCACCCATGGTTGAACAGGAGCTTGCATTCAGCCTCTGAGTGTGGGTTATCCAGTCGTCTGAACCCAGCCAGCGCTGGGGAAATAAATCCCCCCACAACAATTGTGTGAGGATTGTACCTAGGCTCAGAGAGAGCAGGGAATTCTGGGGGAGGCGGCAATGGCACCCACTTTCCTGTGAGTCACAAAATGCCAGTTTGCATCCCCATGAGCAGCCCTGTCTCCATCATACCACTGGCCAAGAGCGAACGAGAACACGCTTTGAGGGATACAGCATCCCCACATCTTACACATGCTTTCTGTCAAAGCAGCATAGATCCAAGACATGGAAGCAACGCCTCCCGAACCTGGTGCGACAGGCTGCCAGTGAGCTGCAGAATTGCTTCCTGGAATATATTAACTTGGAAGGAGCTTGTAACATTTGGAGCAAATCATGGAAGGGCAGATAAGGAGCTGGTAACTGAGGAGGCGGGCAACAGGCAGGATGAAGTGAGTCCAGAGTGTGAGCAGAAAGTGAATCTGGCAAAGGAAGAGACGTAGCATTCCAAGCACAGGAAGCACCCTTGGCAGCAGAACGGGGAGAAGCGAGGCAAATCCAGACAAGATCTTTTGCAACCAAGTGTGTGGCAAGGGATATTAAGGGGTGGGGAATCTGCAGATATCAGGATGTTGTGCTGAATCCTTTTTGCATCGCAGTTAATTGCTACCGCAATATCTCCACTGCCCTGCGCAAATAGAGGCACTAATGCACACATACCTTCTCGTATTTCTTTCCTCTTTTTTGTAACTGGAACTGACCCCAAGGTCCTCAAGAGATCCTCAGAAAGCCACACCCTTTGCTCTCAGCCACTAATTGTTGAGTGGCTTCTCAGTGTTCTGCAGTAGTTTTGATGCCTCACCTATGGCTCAATTAGCATCTGCAAGAGCACTAAAATACAATATGCTGGTACCTTTGGATGTTTTTTGGCACCACCCTTTTTGCTGTTGACATCACCCACTGCTTGAAAAAGGTTCCCAGGAGAGTCCCTGGAATGGAAGTCAGCCCTTTGGCTAAAGAGTCGTCCACTATTGTTCCAAACAGTTGCTCCCTTCTACTAGTTATATGAGAGTTCTCAGCTGGATTCCTCTCCTTGCAGGTCGTGGGATGATTTCCATGCTTGTGCCACCAAGGTCCTATCCAGCTGTCCTGAGGAGGCAGCCAACATCTGGGAATCACTTCGGCAAGAGTCCAGGAAGATACAGTTCCAAGGAAACCTGCATGACCTCTGTAGCTCCCGTGCCCAGTCCGCAGGCAATGGGAGGGCATCCAACATGGATGAAACCAACAAGGAGACCTTGCGGGGCACAGCCTGGCTTCTCCAGCCCCACCTTCTGGGCAGCCTGACTGTTGTAGCTCTCATGGTTGTGATGCCCTTTGTCTAAGCTGGGAGCTCCCTCTCCTCCTGTCCACTTTCATGCAGCCTAGTGGCTTAGTGCTGCTCTCCTCCAGGAAACTGGCTCAGGCCCAGTGGATGGCAGTGGCGTTTGGCAGGTCCCGGTGCTGTGGCCCACAGGGTGGAAGAGGCGGGAGACCTTGAGCTTCCCTGCCTTGTATCTGTCCTGCTCAAAGAAGCCGTGTAATGCTAAAGATGCGCCTCTCGTTGCTACACGCCCTAGTTTCACTAGCTGTCCTCCAGCAGCCATTGTGTCCCACCCTGCTTCTCCTTTGTCCTCTAACTGCCCAGGAGAATCTCCCTTGTATCACTGCTTCAGAAGTTCTGTTTCCCTCCACCCTGATTTTTGTAAGAGAATTGGCAACCGTCGGTTGCTTCCAGCATCCTTACCAGGGGCTGCTGACCAGGGAGAGCCCAAAGCAGCTGCTCTGGATGGGAAACCAGGTCGACATTCTCAGATCGAGGGAGCCTCCCTCCACCCAGCAGTCCTCCCGTGTGGGAGGCCAGGTGCTGCCGACGAGCCACGGAATGTAGGGCACCTTCTACTGGCGTGTGCTGTTGCGCATCGATTGGCGCTTGCACAGGCTTCTTCTCCACCCTTTCCTTACCGTGTCCTCAAAGGCCATGTTGCCCAGTCAATTGTCTTCTCTTGCACCTCCCATAGCATTCTCTCACTTGCTTTCATTTTCTGCACCTTGAGGTCTCAGAGGCCACATTTCTCCAGCCGTAGGTACAATTTTTGTTGGGTTGTTTTTCCTCCGGTGCCCTTGGCAGTTCTGCTGTCCAGCCACTGGGCTCTGCTGATGGGGGAACTAACCCATGCAGGCGAAGACAAATAGAAACTCTTCCATCAGCTGGGCTAGCATTTCCTCCCGCCAGCAAGTCTGTGTACAGGCTGTTGCCATATGCCAGGCTGTATCTTGCATGCACTTCTGTGGTTATGGAGGTGGGCTGGGTCTTGAGGGTCTGGTTGGTCTGCATCCTGCCAGGTGCCCCTGACTAAAGGGGTTTTTTTGGGGCACCTTGCTGGTGTGGCCCATCTTTCTTTCAGAAAGCACCTCTGTTACTGCCACACAAGTATCCAGCAGCTGAGGGATGAATGAAAAGCCAGTGACCAGTGGAAATTTTAGGTCTCCTATCAGCTGGGGGCAACTATTCAAATGTATCTCTATATTTCTATTAAAAGGCACTTTTACATTTCACTTGCCTTGTCTGGTGTTGTGCACTGCAATTCACACATGATGCAGCCAGGAGCATTTTTAGCATTCCTTGTCTGTCAAGTCACTTAATTCCAACTGCACTTACTCAGGAGCCTGCATTCCCCAGCTAACTATGTTGAGATCACAGCAATGTAGGGGTGTTACATAACTCACAGGAAGAGTGGTCTTTCTTGAATTCTTTTGTTAAAAGAAAAAAGAATGAGTACTCCGCATTACAAAGAAATTGAACACACAAATGTTCGGGGATCAAAAGTACACCTGCATTTCTTCTAATTCTAAAGTTCAAATTCAGGGTGCTGTTGTTTATTCAGCCAAAATGACAGCATCCATGCCCAAGAAGGGAGGCACTGGGGGCTTGAAGAAACCCAGGGTTTTAAGGAGTACAATAAATCTTAATGGGGAAAAAATATCCTAAGGAGAAACCCCAAAAACTGATGACTGAGCATGTCATGAAATGCTGAATGATCTTTGGGGAAAAGAGTGGGAAAATGGGGAGGAACGATGGAGATGAAACAGTATCTGGAAACTTGAACAATAAACTCCACATTGCAATATTTTCCTGCAGATCCTGCTTGCTTTTAGATGCACTACTTAAATTATTGTTTGATAAATCCAGGTTCACACCTTTATAATCTCATACAGAAAACAATATGCAGTGTATCATTCTTTCAAGGAGATCAGCTTTCTTTTGAATCTTCCTGTTTTTATTCCATGTGGTTTCTGGCAAGCTTATTTTATTCTGGATATTGATCAACAGTGGTTAAAACAATATTTAAAAACAGACTCAAAAAAATACAGATGAAGACCAACTCAACTTTGCTTGGAAAACTTAGGTTGACCCTTTGGCACTACATGCTTAAATATAACCCAAACAATTCAAATCCTTCCTGGATTATGCACATATTGAAAAAAAGGCTCATTCCCTAATGTTTGGGAGCTTCACTCCCAGTGTTGGGGTGATTGTTTGTGAAGGCATTCAAAAAGGACATTCATCATCAAAAAAGAAGACATGTGTTGGCTTAAAATTTGCCTGTGGGACTTTATACATACAGGTACCAGTTTAGTAATAATGATTATAACTTTAGATAGTTACAGATACGGTTGTAATAATTATTGTAAATGGAAATCCAGCCCATCTCACCATAATGTGGATGTGTGTGACAAGAAGGTCTGTTTGTCTCGGTCAGCCAGCTGTCTCCAAGATGGGCAGCTGGAAGGCCCATCTCTTCCTTCTGATGGGTCTTTATTTTTATACCAACATGAACTAGACAGTCCTTCAAACAGAGGGCAGTAAAAGAGGACATTGGCACCCTACAAATGTCCACCTATTAAATATAGGATCATAACCTGATGCCCTGCTAGATTAGACCAAGGGTCCATCTAGTCCAGTAATCTATTCACACATTGGCCAACCAGCTGCCTGTGGAAACCTACCAGCAGGACTTGTCTTCTCCATGAATTTGTCCAAATCCTCTTTTAAAGCTGTCCAAACTGATAGCCATCACCACTCTTGTGGAAATGAATCCCATGGTTTCACTATGATGCAGTATGAAGAAGTCCTTCCTTTCTTCTGTTCATCAATCAGCTTCATAAGAAGGTTCTAGTATTTTGAGAAAGAAACAGAAATGCTTCCCTGCCCACCTTCTCCACACCATGCATAATTTTCTACATCTCTATCATGCCACCCCTCTGTTGCCTTTTCTCTAAGCTGAACAATCCCAAATGTTTTAACCTTTCCCCATAGAAGAGTTGCTTCAGATCCTTGGATATTAGGCATAGCATGGATATACAGATGTTTCAACCAGGGAGAGAAATGTCTGTAGATCTCTACATATGCATGCTTCTGCAAGGAGGTGGTACCAGCATCTACAACAGCTGATAGTTCAGGGGTATACATTCAACAGCTCCTCTGGCTCAGATGGACACACAAGCCATGGTGGCAAAGCAGCCTTATTCCCCTGTGTGGCTCCATTGTCCTATCCAAGACTTGGGCTTCTATGTGTGTGAGAGAGAGCTATCCAAGAGCTCTTAAAAAGATTCCCGTCGGGTATTCTCTGACCCTTCATATGCTATCAACAGATGTTCACAGTGGCCCTTGATGGTTGCTATAGCAATATTTGTTCTATCCTCTTGAATTTGTGTGTATCCACTGAGCTTTGCTATCTCTGCTTTTGACCAGACGTCCTTGGTTTCTGTCTGGGCTGGGTAGTAACAACAGCTGGACATACAGCACAGATCTGTTTTGGCACATTTCTTCTGTCATACAGTGCAGTACTTGGTGTGGGCAGCAAGGTCCTAAATTCTCTGTGGTGTACATTTTTCTAGTAGTTTCAGAAACTAGATGGTTGAACATGGCTGGGCGGATGCTTTATTTATGAAACTTGTATGGCTCTTCACACTTTTCCCAAAGGGTGTCCTTGAAATGAACTGTTATTATTCAGTCCTTAAAAATGGGGGCTTCTGGTTGCCTTCAAGGCACTGGTAGGATTCTTTGACTCACAGACCAGATACGGCCTGCAGCTCCTCTCCAAGCGGCCCTGTATGGCTTGGATAAAACCTGGAATCAAGAGCAGTCACAGGTGAGCTGATCTCAAATTCTAGGGAGGTTTATATCAACACCAATGGTTTCTGACGGAAGCATGAACTCCCGCTTCCAGATTTTTGTGGGCCATTGGGAAGGACACCCCCAGTGCTCCCTTCCTCAGTGACCCTACCTTCTCACCACCACTGTCCCCAGCAGATCTTGCTTCTTGTCCTCTTTCTCATCACCGCATCACCCACTTGACTGGCAGGAACGCCTACTCCTCACCAGCACCGTTTTCTGGGCCCAAACAAGAGGTGGGTCGTAAGCAGGTATAAAGGTGGCAAAGAGGACAGCTTCAGGGGGCTGCTGCCTTGGGCAGGGCCTGAGGCTTCCTTGGTCACTGGCTGTGAAGAATGGTTCAGAAGCTCCTGGACAGGATCTCTTGAGAGTCAGCTGCTTTTACAGGGCTGGAGAACCTGTGGCCTTCCAGCTTTTGTTCCCGCTTCCCCCGCATTAAGCCTAACCTGTGTGGCTACTAGGATGATGGAGTCAACACCTGGAGGCCAACGTTTCCCCGTAATGTGGGGTATCACGTTTGTGTTTCCCACACCACTGCACCAGCCAGAACTCAAGAGACGAGGAAAGCAATCTCGACAAAACCAGCCCTTTCTCGCTGCGCCCTCGGACCACAGACAAGGGAGTTACATCCTGCAGCAGGTGGGGGAAGGCAGAGGAGAAGGGTGTGTGAACTGGCACGTGTTCCCCCCTTGACAGTATTAATGGCTTGGCTTAGATTTCATCTCCGTGTTTCCAGCACTGCTTGCCCATAATGCAGTTAATCTGCCTTTGCTTAAAGCCCCCTGAGCACTCGGCAGCCCAGCTCAGCCTTTCCATCACTCTGCACTCACGCTGCACATCTCCAGGCTCCTGGTCCACATTTGCCGTGTGTGCGGCCCCACACCCACAGAGAACCGTGCAAACCGCTTTGGGTCCCTTGCTCGATGAAAGCAAGTGGGATACAAGTGCAACAATAATGGAAACATGAACACGTGGCTGGATTGGACCGGTAGTTCACCCTCAAGCTGGAAGCTGGCCAATGGTTTGGGATCCTCCGACATATGACTGAGAAAAAAATCAGACATGTTTCTCCGAGGTTAAGTTACCAAGTGCACCATCCTACACTTCCCAACATCAAAGAGGACACAGGAGTCTTCAGGGTTGCAGCTCCAAGGTCCCATGATGCTG